CGGTTTTATTTTTAATCATTTGCCTCCAGAAAATAATAATTAATATAAATTAAAGTAATATAAAAATTGTGATCGTATTTTCAGAACGAAATTTTGTTTTGTTTTTGAGTTATGCGATTTTTTGTTGTCAAAATTGTATTGCAATTTATGTGAAAAAAATTTTTTGAAAAAATTAAATATAAATCAGATAGTTGTAATCCTTAGAGTATAGCTTTTATGAGAAAAATGATTTTATAGTGGGTTGCCATTTAAAAAAAAAAATTTTTTGTAGAACTCAAAAACAAAAGGAAATTTCGAAAAATTTTATTCTTGTTAAATCATCACATTTTTATAGTACTTTATCACTCATCAATTAGTTTTTTCAAAAAATAAATAGTTTAAGCAAAAAACGTTTGGTTCCATACTTTTTATTCACCTGGTATATTGCAATTGCATTATTATAAAATCAAAAGCTGAAAGATCAATATACTCATCAAATCGATCAATCTTTCACAATTTGTCTGAAAATTCACGATTTTATGATACAAAATCGATAAATAAATAAAATTATATCTTATAAAGATGTTTTTTTTTTCACAAGCAAACACGTTATTTATGGGCTTAACCGGTTTTGCTTATTTATGTAAGCATCATAAAGTATAGATGCTATTAGAAAATTACTTCATGTAGTGTCAAACCATCATGAACTACCAAATAAAATTATGTCCTTCTAAGTAATGATCAATGCTTTTTCTGTTGCGATCCGTTTTCTACTAAGAAAAAATTAAATATTAATTTTTAATATACACTCACCGGCAAAATTATCGCATTTCATGTAAAAAAAAATGTTCTGCTTTTTCTTTTAACATGGCCCCACTTATGGGCTCATTGGATTCGCGATTCACTTTGAACCAAGTAAGAACGGCTTTATCGAATTTAGCATTTTTAGCAGTATGTAACTTTTCTCTTTTGATGAACTCGTAATCTTGTCCATGTTCTTTAAAATTGTTGCCAATGTAAAACTGGCTAAATTTTTCTCTTGCAGATTACAGCTTGTTTTTTACCACTTACGAACTCTTTTATTATAAATATTTTTTCTTTGATAGAAAATGTTTTTGGAAGACGACATATTGATACAGAAAAACAATTTGTTCTCTGCTTGAAAAGTTATTCAAGACTGAGAAAGTGAGAAAAATAAGACCATTAGTACTCAAAAACAACATTTCCAAAAAAATTCGTAATAAAGACTCTCAGGATTTTTATTTCTTCTAGGAGCTCTCGTTATAAACCGATCTGTTTCCGAAATTTCTCAGAATTTCTTGGTATTACCGATCTTGTACAAAATGAAAGTTTTGTTATATTCACCTCAATTCCAGAAAAATACTCGCTATTGAGGGAGAATTTTACATAGAGCAGTATACAAAACGGCAAGGGACTAGACGATTTACTCGTTATAGCCGATTTTTCGTTATAACCGAGTTATAGAGGAGTTCAACTGTACTTCTTTGCTCAGATATTTCTGTATTGAACAACATCGTAGTTCTGGTAAAAAAATTTCTTTGTCGAAAAACATATTCAAAATATGAGGAGACAAAAATACAAGTCTAAAAATGTACAAATCGTTGTAAAGTCTCACTGGTTTCTATTAGACGATAAATTGGTGAAATTGTTATCACAGACTAACAAGTGGGCAGCAAAATCGTTATTTAGAACGCTTACTACAGAAGACGATTAATTATTGTTTAAAGCAAGTAAATTTGGTGGATGCGCCGGGTCATGGTTTTCTTCCAAATTCGTTTTTTTGTGTGGTATTTAAAGATTTTTCATGTTTTTAAACTGATTGTGTCTTTAGTCACTTTTTATACATATAAAATAAAATATTGAATTTATTCAATCTAATCAAAATTAA